GTTATCACTATCACCCAACACATTGTCGACACGTGTCCCCCCTGCACATGGGGTAAATATTCTCCTGGGACTCAGTTGGAGGCTCTTACGCGCGCCCGTGATACACGCGCCTATGACTAGGCCGACTGTTAGTTCCTCGAAGCGATCGACCTGTTGAGGTCGAGTAGGTTGCTCGATCATGTATCTGGTCGAGCGATGGGTTGCTCGATCGTTTGTCTGGTCGTGCAGTGGACTGGTCGACCACTTGCCTGGTCGATTCCCTGAATGTTCGATCTTCCCGCCTTTTGGCTTGGCTCCCTCTTGGTTTAACCTTCTCGACCGGCCCAGCAGACCGGTTTAGCCTTGTGTATATAATATCCCATATCAACCACCACAACGTACCTCTATGGGCCCTCATAGAAAGCTAGGTATATATATTGGCTATGAATCCTCGTCTATTATTAAATACCTAGAGTCCATGACTAGGATCAACTTACAACTCGGTACGCTGACTGCATATTCGATGAAGAGAATTTCCTGGCATTAGGGGGAGAGCCCAAACTTAAATAAATGCCAAAAAATTTCCTCGAATGTACAAAATCTACAATATTTAGATCCACGCACTAATCAAACTGAACTTGAAGTTCAAAAGATCATTAATTTAAAATATTTAGCAAATAATTTGCCAGATGCATTCTCTGATCCTAAAGGAGTGACAAAATCATATGTACCTTCTATAAACGCACCAGAACGAGTGGATGTCCCCATGAAATCTAATATTCATAAAGATGTCCTATGCCAGAAGCGTGGGAGACCTGTTGGTACAAAAGACAATAATCCGGGGAAAATAAAATCTAATATTGAATCACTCCTAAAATCTGCAGAAGAGAATCGTCCAGAAGGCGAAAATCCTAGTTTTAATGCACGTGCAACAAGTAATAAAAATACTACGATTGCGGAACATCCAGATCAAAATATATTGGGAAATTATGAAGATCTGGTTGATGTAAATATTAAAGTAGCTATGAATTTTGTTGACACTGGGAGAAACTTATAACAGAAGTAACACAGTCGTCGACGACTCATTTACCTTTATAGTTGCCTTTACCATATCTAATAATATGGATCCAGAACCTCAATCAATTGTAGAGTGCCAGAAGCACTCCGATTGGATAAGATGAAAAGAGGCAATTGAGGCTGAACTAGACTCGCTAAATAAACGAACAGTTTTTGGCTCTATTGTACGTACACCTCAAAGTTTTATCCCAGTAGGATATAAATGGGTGTCCGTAAGAAAGAGAAATGAAAATAATAAAGTGGTGAGATATAAAGCGAGATTAGTTGCTCAAGGGTTTTCTCAAAGACCCGGTATTGATTTTGATCAAACATATTTTCCTGTAATGGATGGAATAACGTCCCACTATTTAATATCTCTGGCAGTAAATATGAATTTATATATGCAGTTAATGGATGTTGTGACCGCATACTTATATGGGTCATTAGACACAAATATATATATAAAAATCCCTGAAGGATTAAAAATTCCAAAATAAAAGGAAATGAAGCACGCAACATGTATAGTGTTAAATTACAAAAGTGATTATATGGCTTAAAGCAGTCGGGTAGAATGTGGTACAACCGACTGAGTGAATTTTTGTTGAAAAATAATTATGTTAATAATGATGTGTGCCCCTATGTATTTATAAAGAAGTCAACAAATGGTTTTTGCATTATTTCAGTCTATGTCAATGACATAAATATAATTGGCACACGAGGGGAGCTTGATAAAGCTAGCTCACGCCTAAAGACGGAGTTTGAAATAAAAGATTTGGGTAAAACCAAATATTGTCTCGGCCTGCCGATCGAGCATCTCACTGAAGAAATTTTTGTACATCAGTCAGCCTACTTGGAGAAGGTTTTAGAAAAATTCTACATGGATAAATCTCATCCACTTAGCACACCAATGGTTGACCGATCGCTTGAAGTGGATAAGGATCCAGCTAGACCTAAAGAAGACACCGAAGAAAATTTAGGACCAGAAGTTCCATACTTGAGTGCTATTGGCGCGTTACTTTATCTTGCAAATTGCACCAGGCCTGATATTGCATTTGCAGTAAACTTGCTAGCAAGGTTTAGTGCTTCTTCTACGAAGAGACACTGGAATGGTATTAAACATATTTTTATGTATCGTCAAGGTTCAAAAGATCTTGGTTTACTTTATAAAAATAACCAAGATATGACATTGGTGGGATATTCAGATGTTGGCTATATGTCTGATCCCCATAATGCCAGATTTCAGGCTGGTTATGTTTTTCTCTGTGGTGGTACTGCAATCTCCTGGAAGTTAGTCAAGCAGTCCATGGTTTCTACATCTTCAAACCACTCAGTGATAATTGCTTTATACGAGACCTCAAAAGAATGTGTATGGTTAAGATCTTTAATCCAACATATTCGTGGGTCATGTGGAAATACAAATGATATAACCCCTACTGTTCTTTACGAGGACAATGCAACTTGTGTTTTGCAAATGAGTAATGGGTATGTCAAAGGAAGCATGACAAAACACATTACTCCAAAATTATTTTACCCACACGAGCTCCAGAAGAGCGGTGAAATTATTGTACAAAAAGTACGATTTAGTGAAAATTTGGCAGATCTAATCACCAAATCCCTTTCTACATCTACTTTTGAAAAGTACATTTATGGTATTGGTATGCGTAAACTAGGAAGACTATTGTCTTCAAGCGGAGGGACAAACTTAAAATAATACCGAAGATCAGGTCCTGAAGACCAAATGTTGTACACTTTTTCCCTTGACTGAGGTTTTTTTCCATTGTGTTTTCCCAGCAAGATTTTTAATAAGGCAACATAAATGTTGTATTCACATGAATAGTGTATACTTTTTTCTTCATTAGGATTTTGTCCCAATGGGTTTTTTCTAATAAGGTTTTAACAATGCATATTCATGGTATAATGAGAACTACTGGATACTTGATATAATTCCTCATGATGATAAGAAAACAATGGGTTTTTTTTTATTATTTGGGTGCGATCATACTAGAACTAATGCACCGGATCCCATCAGAACTCCGAAGTTAAGCGTGCTTGGGCGAGAGTAGTACTAGGATGGGAAACCCCCTGGGAAGTCCTCGTGTTGCATCCCTAAAAAAAAGAAAAAAAAAAGAAAACAATGGGTTAGTTGTACTCTTTTTCCTTCGATCAAGTTTTTTCCCCAATGGGTTTTCTTGACAAGGTTTTAACGAGGCAACACATATATACTCCAGTAAAGATGATCTATGTAAGGGGCAACAAATGTTATACTTCCACCATGCTCAGGTTTTGTCTCACCGGGTTTTCCTGAATGAGCAATGCTGTGATTCTAAAAATGATCAGGTTTTGTCCCAACGAGTTTTTCCTGACATATTGAATTAGCAGTACCTGATGGCTACAAGATACACTTGAAGATGTTTAGATTGAGATTTATTCAAATTAGTTAAAATGTTTTTAGAAAATAGTCATTCTAGGGGAGTGTTATAATTATGAAGGTAGTTGGTGGTTCAACCAACACCAATAATTTTATTAAAATAATGAATGTGAATGACTATTTTGCTCCTGATGTAATTGTATTATACGATTGTGCCATCATAAGTTTTCTTATAAATAGGAGCTTCAGTTATAATGAAAAATCAATCAAGTGAATACATTTCTCTATTCTCTCTTTCTCTCTAGTTTTATAACATTTTCTATTTCCTCTTTATCTCTTGTTTTATAACAAAAATAAGTCGGTAATTAAAAAATAATGTAATTGCTGCTCATTCAAAGGCGAGTGATGCTGGGCCTTAAGGCTTAAAACTAATATGTTTAAAATATTATATATTTATAACATGTTTATATAAATATTTTTTAGAAACGGCGGGCCAGCCCGAGCCCCTCTAGTCCCGCCCCCCGAAGCCCGTGGTCCGCGGCTGGCCCGTGGAGGCGAGCCTGTAATATCCCAACCCAACCTACTCTTTTGGAGGGGCGAGTCGGGCCGACCCCCGGGCCTCAGCCTTTTGACAAGTCTAGGCTAGTTGTCCGAATTGCCCGTAACTCGCTGACAAAGCACGAGCTCTCTTATGTAGAAGAACGACGTATCTTTTTATTATAACTGTAGGAAAGTTCTATTTCCTGCTGTGTAGTAATTGTTGTAACAAATCTTGTTTAAATAACCGAGTACTAAATCGAATGATTCGTTCACCGGGTCGACCTCTCGAGGAAGGCGATTTAGAATTTAGAAGTGGTGTTGATAACATATAAAAGGAAAATAAATCCTAAACATTCTAATCAGGATAAAATGTTTTAACTAACAACTAAGAAATGCATAAAACATAAATCTACCTAAAATAGAAATGAAACAATGATAAAGAACCTAGGGAGTCGGGGTAATTAATTCGAGTTCTATTCGCAAAATTGACCTTTAATCGTTTGGATCGAGATTGATGCTCTCGCCAAAACATCTAGCGGTTTGCACCCTATAACTCTTCGTAACAAGGGATTGAACATAGACGAGCAAGTCCGTGCATACAACACCGTCCAATTATCTAATCCTAACAAGGGAAGGGACATCGACAAGCATGTACTTCAGTTTGAAACCTATAACTATTCAATTTCGAACTCCTCTATCTCGTACGAGCCTAGTTTTACGACATATCCCCTTTAGGTTCTAAAAGTCACTAATTTAATTAGAAGGGGTTTAATTAACTAATCATTTAGAATTAACAATACCCTAACTCGGCAAATGAATATCTAATCGTTTCCAATCGCAAGACCGAAGTGTCACCCGTTGATTATATCAAACAATCAAGTAAGAATTCATCAATTCCTAATTAAATCAACTCGCACAAGAACGAACAAATCAATTCCCGACAAATACAATGAACAAGCATAATTTCCCTCTATACCTAGCAATTAGATTTAGCTATGTAGATCAAATTCAACACAATTAAACATCTCAACCCAAGCAATTATTTTCATCAATTAAATGAGAAGAAAGACTTACGATTAATAGAGAAAACGAATTTAAATCCGAATTACAAGCTTAAACCAAAAGCAATCAAGAAATCAAGGTGAAATGTGGAGTTTTTGGAAAGAAAAATGGAGAAGAACGAGTATGGCGATGCGTGCAGGCTAGGTTTTTCATCCCTCGAAGGAGAGATAACTTTCTGTTGAAGTCCCATACACATATACATATAGGAGAGAGTGCCACGACGCGAGGAGCATGTGCCTCTCGTGCCGTGGCATGGAGTATGTGGCTCGGCGTGGAGGGCGTCTGAGACGCGGCGCGGCGTGGAGGGTCTGCCTGGGCGCGTTCTGCTGGGGTCGTGGCGCTGGCCGCGGGTAATTCCGCGGCGTGACGGTCGTGCAGTGCTGCAGCGCGGGGCCTGCCACTGCGCGACACCTTGTCTCTTGGGAGCCTCTGTCGGTGCGTGGTGCCTGTCGCGAGCTGTGACACGGCATGGAGCTGGGGCAGTCCCGCGGCGTGGAGCCTGCTACGGCGCGAGGCCTGGGTACATGGGGTGTCATTCTGGGCGTGATGCATGTGGCGACATGGCACGCGCGCGAGGTTTGACTACCGCGGCGCGTGGCTGGCCATGACGAGGGGCTCGGGCGAGCTGGTGGGTAGCTCGCGCGACTTTACGTCTCGAGTTCATTTGAACTTGAAATTGACTTCTTTTTTTCCTGCTTATCGCCAACGAACTCTTCTAGTTGATTGTGCCCACACGGTCAATTTATCCTTGAATATAAATCCTCTCGAAACTCCTGACCTACTTACCATAAACGAAAATAAAAATGGAGAAAATCGGGAAACAAAAACGAAAAACACAAAAAAAACTCAACATAAAGCAAAAGATGCAACAAAGCACAAACGAACAAAAAACGAAAAAAAATACCTAGAACGGGGGGAAAAGGATGGCAAAATAACAACGAAAAATGCAACAAAAATGGGTCAAACAACTCCCCCACACTTAAACCATTATTCATCCCGAACAAAAATAAAAGAAAACAAGACATGGGCATGGATACGGTTTCAAATAAGAAGAGACTCAAAATGCTTAACTCAACCGGGTTGAATTCCAACGACCGTCAGACCATATGCCTCAAATATCGACTTGTCCTTGAAATGACAAACTCTCAACACATAAATTACAATATAGGCCTTATTCATTTTCTTACATAAATATGTGATAGGTTCGCTCAGATTGGTCGATATTCAAATTTCAACATATGCTTGTCAATCATCTAAATTACTCGGAAACAATCAGAGCTTATGACTTGCGAATTAAGAGGACTTCACAGGTTGTAATGTGAGCTTTAGGTAGAGGTACAAATATATATGGACAAGAAGCTCAAATAAACAATCAAGGTTCTCGAGTAATAGAATACTCGAATGCCCGCCACTCGTCCAAAATCAACAAGATAGCATACATATCATCCACCAACAACTCCACAAACAACACATATATTCATCCACCATCAACTCCACAAACAACACATTTATTCAACCACCAACAATTCCACAAACAATACATATATGCTCCAATTAAGTTGCAACTTCATTGCCTTAACCTTTTTATTTATTTATTTATTTATTTTATTTTTGCTTTATTTAGAGAGTTGCTTTTTTCAACAACACGATCGGAGCGTAAGGACAACATTCTCCAGGGTTAAACATTGGAGGTAATCCAAGTGTCCTAGAGTGTTTCCCAATGCTCATTATCTGTCATCATGAATCGCCTAGTAAGCGGAATAGAATCCATTCGATTCGTCATGTGAGCTCTCATTTTCTCTCTCTCTCTCTCTCTCTCTCTCTCTCTCTCTCATTTTCTTTCTCTTTCTCTCCCTCTCTCTCACTCCCTCTCTCTCTCTCTCTCCCTCTCTCTATTTTTTCTTTTTTTAATATATACTAGGTCAAGCAATATAGTGCAACTCACATTTACCTCATTCAAAGACGCCACCAGTTTCACCCATCATCACACAAATCAGTCAACATGTTGACAAGAAAAGACATTAAGCTCAAACGGGCTACTAGCGAAAAAACGCACTTTTAGGATCAAGAATAAGGATAAAGAGAGCTAATCAACCAAAATGCCTCAATCATTTTCGCAATTTCAAACTCTAATAGATTCCTTTCAAACAAACTCAGGAAGGTTCTATTCATTCAAGAATATGACCAATATATCATAAGAAAGAAGAGTAAGGATCAAAACCTCATAAGGTAAATAAATGTCACTCAAAGCAATCAAGCTTATATCGAGGCAATGACCAACACGTCCGTCATCACAACTTCTCAATTTCATCAAACATTCATCAAGAAATCATATGATTCACCAATACCACATGCTCAACAACATAAAAACCTAAAACTAGACCGATCCACCACATAAGCATGCAAAATCCAAATAAACTCCCCCACTTAAAATGAGGCAATGTCATCATTGCTTCAACGCCTAACCGGGAATTCAAATAACAGGGCCTAGCAATTTCACATCATGAACCGATACTAGCAGCTAACAAAAAAATATAAAACTCAAAACAAAAGACACGAGGAAGAAGCAACCAAAAAAAGATAAAAATAGAAAATGTGTGCAAATCGAAGATGCGTTGAGGGGAATAAGTATTCTCGTGCAAGCCGTTCGCTCACGCTCAACCCAGAACCTCGATATTTCTCGTTCAGCTCATTTCCCACGATCGATCTCACAAACTCGCTCCAGCCAATACAACCACAAAATTCTAAAACTCTCATTATTGAAAATATAAAACTAAAAACAAAAAGAATATAACTAAGAAAGCAATAAATGAAACTTGGGTTGCCTCCCAAGAAGCGCTTGTTTAATGTCATTATATTGACGAAACCTATGTACAAATCAACCGGGATACAAAGAAATGACGTCCGTGCCACGCCTTCGTATTCTCGAGAAGTGGTAGCATGAAGAGTGTGGCAAGAAAGCGGGCATGGTGGATCCGAGTGGCTATGTTCTTGATGAAACAGGTTCGGGAACGAGCAATCCCCAATTTTAGGCACAAAGCTTTTCTCAACCGAGATTTGTTGTCAACCTCTAGAATTATAAGCGCATCAGTGGAGTACATCGAGTTAAATCCAACCCACCTGGTATCATAGTGTAATGGCCTCGAAGGTGAATGCTCCAATTCATTGGTGGGAGGAGGGACTTGAAAATTTGAATTCTTGATCAAGCCCATGTACCTCCTTCTCCGGGGGTGTTCATATCTAAGTCCTAACTATATTATTCCCGTCTCTTGGGAGCGCATCATCTTCTTCTTCGGTCACACAAATTTGCTTCAGAATACGAGCTTGAGCATCAAGCATAAGGTGGGGGTCGTTGAATTGTGCCTCGACTGAGTCGGTACGTGCTGTAAAAATGTCAATTTATGCACTCAATCGAGCACATTCGATCTTAATCTCCTCATCTCGTAGGGCAGACATAACGAGCAATAATAAGGTCGAGTTTTTAATCAAACGTTAAAGTATCCTCCCGAGGTTCATTATTATGTGTAGATTCACCTTGAGCGGTGGGATCGAGAGAGATATTGTCAACTCGATCCTCTAGGGCTTGCATGCGCTCCGCTAGGTTCTCGTTTCTGGACTCAAAATTGCTCAGATGGGCTACTTGGGATGTCAAAAGAGCGAGAGTTTGATCAAGCTTTACATTGTACTTTGTATAGTGCCCCTTTCGTTTATTAGAATTTTCCAGATTTTATATGATTATTTATTTTCTTTAGATTTGATTACTACCCTTGTTTTATATTAATTGTTCGATTGTCGTTTATAAACCGCTCATATATGTCTGTCTTATTTATCTGCTTATATATTTATTTGCTATTTGAGATGATTATATGATTGTTTAATTTAATTATTTATGTGTTAGAATGATTATTATTTGAATTGGAATTATATTATTTCGGTGATTTTCGGTTTAATCGCGTAAAACCGTTTTCGATCCGTTTGGACCCGTTTCTTTCGTATTTTCCGATTGAGCCTTGAATTTGATATTCGGCCCAATTTATCTGGAGAAATTTCTGTCCAATTGGTTGCATCTTACTCGGCCCGATTTTGCAAATAAATCGACCTAAATTGACAATAAAATGTCCAAAATACCCTTAATGAATATATAAATACTGATTTTTTTGTTACTGTTGGGTCATCTAATCTAATGGCTAATATTGATTCTTATTTCTTTCAT